CCCCCCCCCGCCGGGTAATTGAGATTCCATGATCGAGTGAAACAGCTCGCGGCAGATAAATTTGCGGAATAGGATGATGAATTAAGTCGTTCTCGAGACGAATATTCAAGCGGTACGTGCAATGGTTAACCGAGACATCGCATTTCTCTTCCTCCCTCTTCCTTCGTCTTGCAAAAAAGGTGCGGTTACCACGGACGGCGGTCTCCAGGGTGCTTACCGACAAGTGTCACGGTACAGATTTGTCCCAGGGATCCAGGATTCAGATACGGGCGAACGGAAGCGGCTGCTTAACGCGGGACACGAAGGACGTCGCTAACGAGGATCAGCAGGACTCGATCTGTCCGTTCAGCAGACAACACGTGATACGCAGTAATTACATGGGGAAGAGCATCGAGGCGAAGAAGAAGGTATGTGCGAGCGTCCGATTAAACGAACTGTGTGGCACTCATAACTGTGTGGACGACTTATACCGATTTCCGCTTTAATGAAATTTAATGCGGAATTATGTATGCGCTTTGCATGCATATAAAGCGCGCTCGGTCGCGACTCGGAAGGTTCCCGTTTCTAGGAAATCGTGGAATCTGGAGCGAACGTAGGAAAAAGCCGCGCGGTTACCGGTGCACGCCAGGTCGCGAGATATTTATCGGCAACTATATTAACCCTTTTATTATTCGCCTACGACGCTCACTCGCAAAGAATCTTATATACGGATTGTTTCAAAGTTAAACGATCAAACATCGATATTAAAATTGTAGAGTGTTAAATTTAATCTCCCAACGATGTCAATTTTGCATTAGAAACGGAGAACGGTATTTTGAAATAGAAAATTAAACAAACTTCTTTTTTTCTCAATGTAATAATAAAATGTGATAATAAAACATTTCTGGACCTATGCTTATAGACGCTACATTTTTTTTTTCGTATTTCTACTCATAGAACATACTGGCAAATTTTGATCGTTTAACTTTGAAACAGCCTGTATATTCGTATTTTACAAATATACAAAGAAATTATAATATACATATTTTCTTTCTCTCCCTCTCCGTTATATATTTACGCGGTTTAATTTGGTATACATGTATAGAACGTCGCTCTTGCTACTCTCGAATCATAGTACGCATCACGAGACAATATTACAATCGCCTTTTGAATATGAATTCTGATCAAGAACGTTATGATGTTCGTTGGTTGCATTGAACGCGTCTTCTCGTCCGATGTCGCAGGTGATCAGAATGCTCTTCGTGATAGTCCTGGAGTTCTTCGTGTGCTGGGCGCCGTTGCACGTGATCAATACGTGGTATCTCTTCGCGCCTGATCTAGTCTACTCGGTCGTCGGTAGCACCGGTATCAGCCTGGTGCAGCTATTGGCCTATGTATCCAGCTGCTGCAATCCCATCACGTACTGTTTCATGAACAGAAAATTTCGCCAGGCGTTCCTCAACCTCTTCGACTGCCACCGTTGCTGGAGGTAAAATCTAGGTGAAGCCGCGCGCGTATATCTTTCATCACGAGAGACGTAAACTTAAAGAAGTTATGATGACACGTAAGACGGATCTTCGCCGTACAAATCCGTCCTCTTTACGAGTTGTACCAGTTGGCTGTTCCGACGCGTGGGTTTAATTTCGTGGAAGATGTACGTAGAAGAGTTCTCTCGAAGCTGCCGCGGCCAGTTAGAAAGGCTGTAATTACGTACCAGCCGTTCTCATGTCAAGCCCCAAAGTTATTAACGGGAGCGCCCTCGTTCTTGCTCTTATTTAGACAGAAAGTAATAAAGTTTGTTTTTTTTCAATGCAGGACGGAATTAAATGTATATAAAAATAAAATATAGAAATAAGGCTTTTAACGAATAAAATCAAGAATGTCAACAAAAAAAAAAAAAAAATGGCAAAAAGAGCCATGCGCGGTATTAAGGGCGCATAAATTTATTATAAAAGAATTACATTAAAATATCTAACTCGCGGACGTTTCGCGTTCTTTTGGCCATCCTCAGTTAGTTATAATTTTATTATTCGATGCGCTGAGGATGGCTAAAAGAAGGGCCGAAACGTCCGCGAGTTAGATATTTTAATGTAATCCTTTTATAATAAATTTATATCCTCTTAATACCGCGCGTGGCTCTTTTCGCCATTTTTTTTTTTTTTTTAGATGTATATAATTATGCAAATGTTTTTTTCTTTTTTTTTTGATGTATGTTATTTATATAAAATACACGCTTTGAAAAGATTTTAAAAATATACCTGATTTCAAGATTCAAGAGAAAAAATCGCATACGCACAAATTAATGTTAGGCATGAAATCCTCTATTGCAAATGAACGTTCACACAAACGGACGTGCGTTTTATTTTAGGGTAGGTTGCCGGCACAGCGACATCGCTATGGCGACCACAGGAAATGCCGGACAAGCTGGAAATAACAGCGAATTAAGCGGAAATGACTCGACGGTGTATCTAGGCAGAGCGTCCCTCGTCGCTAGATCAGGTATCATCATGCCATTAAATTGATCGTTCATTATTGTCATCTCAGATCCGGTTGCCATCAACCATAATTTTCGAGATTCTGATTCCGTTACCGCGATATTATACGATACCATGACGTTCCAGATTCTATCAAATTATCATAATATTATCATGATATCACACGAGATCATGACTTTCGAGAGTCTGTCGCGTTGTCTTTCTTACCACATTTCAAAATGTTAATTAAATTCTATACATAAATATTCTTATGTTGTACAAAAATATAAATCAAATGTACGTTTAATACCCGATATTTTCCACGTTTAGTTAGATTCGTAACAAATAAATTAAAACAGTGACGTGATCGATAATGGTCCGTCACGAACCAACACTCACTGGCTTTTCATGGCATTCGTTACGAGTTCCCACGTGTAATTCCTTCATGAGATACCCACTAACATTTACTATATATGCATCGGATGTGTCTCTAAACTTTTGAATGAATAATTAGTTGCGCTCTAATTCCTGCTTGTGTGAAGGTTAATTATTTGTATCTGTTCTACATGAGGATGTCCTCGGTCTGTATATATAACAATAATGTGGAGATGAAAGTAGGAATTGCAGCGCTTAATAATAATAGACATATATATAAATATTTTACTTTGATAAATTTTCCGCGTACAGGAAGATAATTAAATATACATAGTATTTGTATAAAAATATAAAATAGAATCAATTGCCGTTCTTGAATTTTTACGTTGGAAAATATATCTCTGAATGCATAGCATATAATATGTAAAATTTTAACATCTAACTAGTACTTCGATGCATATTTCGAGCTATAAATTTATTTTTAGAATACTGTATATCAGTACGCTGTATATTTTATATCAGTATACTGACAATTCATTTTTGTGTGATTTTATTTATAATGCTTTTTTGTAAAAAGATCGTAAAAATATTGTCTTTTGAAATTGGTTTTTTTGTTGCATAACCGCATATACTTTGTGTCTCAAAGACTAAAATTTGCTGTTAAAATTGCGAATTAATGCGGTTTAATATTCAAAAGAAAAAAAGATTATTACTTTGCACGTGTATCGAAAAAAATAAGAATATTCTCTTGTAAAATGGAAACGTAATTTTATCTTGCAAATAGCAAACTAATATTGATCCATCGTGGAATATAACTATGTATTATAAAAAGAAACCGAACTCTTTAAAATATAATTTTTCGAATCTTGGTTTTTTAAAAGAATATAAAAAATAAAATTTTATAAGATGTTGAATTAAAAATAAAATTAGTATATTTTCTTATATATGCAATAATTGATAATAATAAGCAACATTTGATATGACAGCCTCACGCAAACCTAAAAATTGGCAATTGATTTTTTTTAATATAATTGCGTTTAATCTGACAATCTTACATTGCGCAAACGCACATTTGCCAGATATGATAAAATATAGTAGTAATCTTTGTAATAAACTCGAATTTACATAAATTCCATAACAAGTCGGGTATTATCACATGTGACATAGCATTTAATCACATTGTACTTCGTACGCAATCATGATTAAATTTCATAAAAATTATAAGCGCTGCTTATTTTTCAAGATAATTAAATTTAAACTCCGTGGGGATAATATTCCACGCCTTTTTTTCTTCATTATAAATGCATTGTTCCGTTTTTATCTTTAAAAATTTACTTCATAAAATATGTATTTTACTGTAATTTTTACTTTATCCGTGCAAGAATTTGTGCGGAAATGCGTTTTCATTAAGCTGATAAGAATATCCGGATAATTAACACATATTCTGAAATAATTGCTTGAGTCCGAATATGCATATAATCTGGATTTTAATTTGGAAAATGAATTTCTCTATCCGAATCTATATATACGAATTTTTGCTTGATAAATAGTGTTTTATTTCTTCTTTTACTAAAAAGTTTGAATTTATTCTTAATGTGTGACTATAAAAAACACATTCAAAAATAATGCAAAGTATTCTTTATATTCGCATAGCTTTAATCCCGAATTAACGAAGAGAATTTACAGATTCGGATAGATACGACTTCTCGTATTATATGCGGACACATCTCCGGACTCGAGTAAACGAGTAATGATTATTTTAAACTTGGATATCGGACCCGCAAAATCCGGGTCGTATTTGTACGATCCCTTGTCTTCACGGGAATGTTGTTTCAGAGGTAGTTCGGTTGCTGGAGGAGGAAGATCGCGTCTAGTATAGGTCGTGCGGATTATGTGACGGGGTGACGGAATCGAATATATCTCTACCCCAATCCCGCGAGCAGGAGGAGGATTTTTTTCTGAAAATATCCTGGCGACCGCCCGTCGATAGGATCGCTTGTCGTGGAAGCGGTAAGGAACTCTCATGTGCCGGCACGTCTCATTGCTCATCGAGATCTTCTTGCGTGGACAATCTCAACTTTCTTTACGATTAACCGAAGCGAAATATATTAACGTTATTCTCCGTGATATGCGTATTTTTTGGCCTAACAGGTATTTCAGAAATCTCTTTTTATACTTTTAGTTAATTCATAGAGATTATAAAACGTATACAGAAAGGAAAAAATACTCCTAGGGTCTTGCCGGATTCCCGTTGAATGTTTTATTTTTCTATTCTACATCAAATCGATCGCAACTGAACTTTTTTGTACAGATTAGTCAAATGGATCAGATGGATGAAAGTTTTACAATGTAATTACAAATACGTAAAATAATTAATTTGTTACAAGCATGTTATATCTTAATAAACTAATAACTTGTAAAATTGAGATTGATATTCATCGATAAATCATGTATTAAGTGTATAATTGTCGATTGATACATTTCTAACAATGATAAAATGCTTTAAAATAATGGTTACGAATATTTAAAAAATTGTAATTTTGCATCGATTCTCTTATCCTTTAGATATGATAATGATACGGCACGCGCTATAAATCTTTGTGATGTCGCAAAAATTACATTTCCGGAAGATTAATAATTAATCTGATTTGGCGAAATAATGTTTTGTATAAAAAATTGACGAAACGCTTTCGGCACTTTCGCACAGGCAAGCTTAACGCGTAGAGCCATAAAGTATATTTATTCAGTAAATGGAGTTTTATGTGAAAAACAAACACAGTTATGTCATTTCAGCTTAACCTCTGCTCATTTACGTAACTTATGCTAATTTCGAGAAATTTGTATATTTGACGTTTGCACACATATATCGAATCAGATATTTTACAATAATTGCAGCTTCAAAATAGACGGCATTTAAATTAATTTCCATTAATTTCTTGCGATGAATACAGATACGTTTCAGAGATACATATATAACGTTTAAAAATATTTTTCGATAAAATATATTATTCAATATATGAAAGAGAAAAAGAGGAAGAGAGAATTTATATATAAATGCCACATGTTACGCAGTTCACATATCTTTCATAATACATATCTTTGATACACCTGTTGCGCACGTTTCATGGACCTGTCAGAGAATAACCCTTAAATGATAACGCGAGAAATATACAACCACATTGCGCGGTCGCTCAAAACCATACTTGCTGAGTTTTCAGAGCTTTATTTATACTATACTATACTATGATACTTTAATTTTTTAATATGTTATTATTCTTGACGAAATATTATTGTTCATGTAACGTAACTATTTTCTGTTTAAATCGGTTACATATTGCTGCATAAAAATTGTAACATTCTAAAAAATTTATTTTTGAATCTATTACACATACATTTAAGAAAATATTATCAATAAAACGCTTTATTAATATAGTTGTTTTTTGTATAAATATATCAGATTTCTCTTAAATATATTAAATATATATACAAAATAAAGAATCTATTGGCATCAATTTTTAAATGCTGCTTTTATTAAATAACTGTGTTTGTTTGGATACATTTTTCAATTACTTTTACATGATTTTTTAATATAATAATATAACAGTGTAACATATATATATGTATATTTTATTTATTAAAAATGTTTAAATGTTTAAAGAAAGATACACATGAATGCGTATCTCTATATGTACAAAAGTATATTGATCGTTACATTATTATATATGACAAAATATATAGATTACTACATAAATTATATATTAAGAACATCGTGGCTCAACTGGTATTATAAAATAATTATTCGCAAAAATGCAGATTGCGCATCGCGTAAATAAAATAAGTCTTGTAGGATTCTATATTCTTCTGAAGTATTTAAGAAATATATCCGAAAATTCTTCGCGCGCTGCAACACTTGTAACAAAATAGAATAAGATTTGATCGATTTTAGACACTGCGCAAAAATGTTTAATAAACTTTTTTCAACAGGACTCTATAATCTGGATTATTTTTTCATCAAGCCTTCTTTGTTGCCTCCTAATCTCTCTATTTAACTATGTCCTTTAGTTCTCCACCTTTTTCCCCGACCGATGCTGGAAAACTACTCCGTTTTACTGTCTGCGTACATTGATTTTCAGATGTGGAACAAGCTGCCGCGCATCCAAATGGTGATATCAAAATGAAAAATTAACTATGACTTCTATGCTACAACATAAAAAAAAAGCATATAATATTCTATCAAAATATTAATTCTGTTAGATTTAACTTTAATATTACTTGTATAAAAATTTTGATTTGTATTAAATTTTTACTCTGGTAAACACAAATATACACGTCATTAGACACAAAAGACTTGTAAGCAAGTTAAAGAAAAATTAATCATGATGTAACGCAACATTTTTCTGTTACGTAATTGATATGGCTATCTCTACAATAGTTTTTTAAACTTTTATACATTTTTTTATTTATTCTATCAATTTATTCAATGTTATTAAAGGACATCTGTTGTCACAAGGAAATTGATTACAAACTGCTTTACAAAGCTTTACAAGGCATTTCGTGCGTATTCTCTTTTGAGAATATTACGAAATATAATAATCAAGAGAATATCGAGACAGAGTTTAAAAAAATTGATTTCTTTTTGTTATACTATTTGTCGAGTTTTATATACATATATACGTTCAATAAATTAAGCAACTCACAGAATGGAATTTTTTTAAATTCAATTTTTCGATACAATAAAATCTATACCGAGAATACTGTGGGAAAGAAATAAAAAAGATTTGATTAAAAATATCTCAATAAAATCTCTCATATCGAAGAACATCTCTCAATTTTTTTTTCTCGTATACATATACCTATATGTGGGTTGTGCCGATATCGTCTACTCTTCTCTTGGATTAATAATTCTTACTGAAAAGGTTGGGGTAAAGCTGGGTTATATCTAAACGAACATGAGCCCTTGTAAAGCTCAAGAAAGGATATTGTCCCATGTCGGCCACTTGATCTCGTGTCTTATCGGTCCGCAAGGGATTTACCCCAACCCAATTATTAATCAGAGACTACAGCTTGTTTCAAGGAGTAAAAACCCAAAGGACGAAAATACTTCAATATATCACGTCACATGCATTTATCACTCCTATGATATTTAATCCCGTTCTTGTCACGAAAAGTTACAAAAATAGGTGCGAGGACGTGACTAGAAATGAAGTTATTGAATAAATTAATTAAAGAGTCATATGCGAGAGAGCTCTCACACGTTATTTCCGTGGCTTTTTATAAGTTTCGAAAAGTTCGGCTGCCCAATGTGTAATGCATCTATTAATAAAACTATCCGGAACGTTATGCATAATACATAACGTTTTTGTGATGGCATTTCGTAAGCGCAGCTATCGTTCAAAAGCTGTTTCTATTTAATGAAAATATTTTCTACTTTGTATAAAAGGAGGGATTTAATTCGATTTTGTTAGCTACATAATCTTCTTTCGCGATATAAACTCTCAATAATCTCATAAACGAGATATATATATATATTCAAAGTACTAGATCGTAAAGATTCTGATAAAAGATTTACTCTTTTTCTCATCATATTTTATATCTATTTTATCGTACTTGAAATATATTTGTCGCTCTACTCTTCTATCTGACCGACGAAATGGAAAGTCTCCCGACTGTTTTGGCGGCAAACCGAAAATAACATATTTGCACTATTTGGTCTTTTACTTTACAAATAATATATAAAAATTTATATAATGCTTGCGCTTTGTACAGTAGATGTGGACAACCTTGATCGATCGGCTTTAACTTACAGCTATAATGTTACAAAGCGAAAAAGGATAACAAAGAAAACGTAGAATATACATCTTTATTTCGTGATTTGCATAAAATTCTTCGATAATATATTTGCAAATTTATTCTATTTTATTTTGCAAACGTCCAGTGTATAAAAATTTGTTCTTATATTATCAATATAATGCAATATATAAAGAAGAGAGGAGGGCTTACTTTATTTTAATATATTTACTAGAATTTTGGTCTTTTACTTTACAAATAATATATAAAAATTTATATAATGTATATATAATGCTATAAAAAAATTCATACAATTCTTATTAAAATTATAAGCTGTTAATACACGGTATGTTGCACATTAATAAGCTGAATTAATACAATTAATTAATTTTTGTCACTATCTTTCTCTTACTACACATTTCATTTATGCATGTATAGTTTAATCCTGGCTGTTTGCAATACGTAATTTACAAAGCGCTTATTGATGAAATATTCGATTATCTAAAATTGGGGCCATGAGCAATACTGTGGTTTATTTCTTGCTGAATTTGCCATACATTTTGCATGAGAATTGGAACAATGGTAAATCCACTTTAATTTGCATTTTGAATAAACGGTTAAAGCTAATCCGACTATTGTAATGTAAACCAGATTTAATACCGTTGTTATCAAAGAACCGTTGTTTAATTTGCTTTTTTGCAGCTTTATTTTCTGTATAGATCATAATTTATATAACGTGCAATGCCAATTTTTTTGAAGCAACTGATTATTTGTCAAAAATAAAATTCTGCTTATATTATTAATTACCGTAAGTTATAAACAGTGATTTTGTTTATATATACTATATTTCTATTTAATATATTTGCCATCGTTTAATTAAAATTCAAGTACTTTATAGCAATTAAAAAAATTTATGACGTGTATTTTTATATATTATATTTACAATATTAATATTTACATGTTTGCAAATAAAAGATATTCGAATAATATACAATATTATAACTCAATATTTAATTTAATGCAAAATAAGATGCGGAATTTAACGTAATATAATATAAAATTATTTTATAAAAAAGAAACGTATGATTTAATTACAATTCACATATCGATATAGAGATAATGGGATTAGAATCGAATTAGAATCATGCATAGAACAATTAGCTTAATCCGTTTTTCCACTACTCATGAAAAGTTTATCATTTAAATAATAGGAAGGAAGATGAAGTATGCTAAAAGGATTTTCTATCTGCGCGTACACATTTCTAGAATTTTAAAGACGCACGGCTGTATGAAGAGATAAAAGTCGCAACGGAGGACGATTTCACAACTCGCCGCTTTTTTAGCGTCATCCTATAATCGATTTCGGCTTGCCTCTCTACACGCCACACGGATACTCCAGAATACGCATACATTTCAAAGAGATATAGATTAAATTGCCGTCGAAACCAAGATAATTCTTCTAAGTATCAACTTAAATCTCCTTTAGCTTAATGGTATTATCCTGAAGAAATCGTGATTTCCCTGTTGACAATCCGAAGAAAATCCTTTCGAGTTCTTTATTATTGAATCGTCTACTTCATACCATTATCGTACATCCATTTAAAAAGTAATGCGTGTTCTTAAATGTTACATGCAGACAATCTGTGACTATCTCTTTCAGCAGTATCAAGATCCTGCGCTGCTGTATTTCAACGGTATCCGGATGTATTCAACATATATATATATATATATATATATATATATATATA